TTTCACCTTCCTTGCTGTAACAGCTGCTTCTTGAAACCAGAATCATACCAACATGGGCACTAGTAAAGTTAGGGTCTCTACTTTGAACAATCACTTTTATTATAAAGCTCTTCAGAGAAACCATAGTGGAAATCCAATGCTGTGCCAGCCTCTTGAGTTGTCAAAACCCATCATGACACTGCGTGTTTCTGTTAGGAAGGAGTCTACTCTCCAGTTGTCCATCGTCACCTGCATGCACTTTTTCTTTGCATGTCTGCATGAAGTATGGGTATCAATGCTAACTTACAAATGATAAGTTTTGGCAGATGATGAAGCTACACACTGAGGCGGCAGACCCATGGCTATTACAGTGCTCTGCTGATATGAAAGGGGTCCTCTCCCTTTTTTTCTGGCTGCCTCCCATCTTGTTACAGCCCTGGCACTTTACAGACTTTTCAATGATCCCACTTAGCTTGCTAACCTGTTAGAAAATGATCCCTTTTTTCTCTCTGTTATTCTGTTTTCTGCTATTTATTCTGTGAGGTAAATGCAGTGCACACGAATAACCTGTTAGAAAATGATCCCTTTTTTTCTCTGTTATTCTGTTTTCTGCTAATAGTGAGGTAAACGCAGTGCACACGAGGGTCTGATGGGTGCCAGATCTGGCAAAAAGTGGTTCAGAGGGAGACAGAGATGGGGAAGGTGGGATCTTTCCTTTGACTTCTCCCTTTGGGAGGCAGCAAACTGTTCATCTGCCTGGCCATAGTATATAAAACCATAACCTAAGGGTAGAATGGTGCCCTCTCCTGAAGGAGCGTGCAATTACCAACTCGTTTAGTGGAAGTTAAAACCAAGTCTGTCATTAACAGCCCCTGCTCACAACAGGGAGGGATGCTGGCTATGCCTAGCCAGGCCTCTTTAGCGCTAGCATTTCTAAAATGCAGGATATCATCTAGGAGGAAAAAGATTGCATAAATAGGATCATTAGGATATCATTAGGATACTTTCATGTAAGTCCTGGAGGAAGACCCGAGCTTGAATGAAAATTCCTAAGTACCCAGTTTACATTCTTAATCCTGTTATGTAAAAGCAGATCTGAAGCCAAAAGGCCTAGAAGCTGAACCTTCACTGGTGACATGTGCCTGTCAGGGGCTGCTACAAAGAAAGAAAGATCTGTCAAAATTAATCTAAGTAGATAATAACCATGACTTGCTTTTATTTCTCTCAACCCACTACAAAGCATTATTTCCACCTGGATTGTGGAAAAACGATTACCTCATGACTACCTGGCGCAAAGGGACATCTTAAAACAACCATCAAGGGCCAATGTGCACCTCTCCTACAGATGAGGCAAAACCAATCTTCTACTACCCAAATCAAATCCTAAGCTGGCCCAAAGCTGTTCTCTGTCCTTGTTTTGTAAGGACTGCACAAGCCAGGGGTAAGGCTGGATGCCATGTAGCCGTGCCCGGGGAGGCCACTGCCCACCCAAGGGTGCTGCTCCCTCACACGTGGCCCTCCTCACCACAGCGCAGCAGCGCTGCCAAAGAAAGGGCAGCCCGTGCCAGGGCTTCCTCACAGCACCCATGTGTTATTCCCCTATTAGGGATGGGATTTCCCCCCTTGGGAGATTTCTGCTGCCGATTTACTCGAAGCCATGGGTCACCCCCACGGACAGTGCAACAACCGCCAGGCCCCGCTGACGGGGAGCTCCCTCCCCCCGCCCCCCTCGGCGCGACATGGC